ATTATATCTCTTAATCTTCTCAACAACCTTAAAAGGTAGGTATTATTATTAGTCGCACTTTACAGATGAGAAAACAGACAGCGAGGTAAAGCAACGTGTCCAAAGTCACAGAGCTAGAAGACTTTAAGCTCAAACTCAAACTTAAACGCAAACTAAAGTCTGGCTGGCTCTAAAGTTGTGCTCTTAACCACACTACTATTCTGCCTCAAGGATTTTGGACTTTATCCTGTAGATGATAGGGAGCCATTCAAGATTTTTGAGCAGAAAAGTGACAAAGTGTGGGTTTTTAGAAAGTTTCCTACTGGCAGCAGAGTGGAAAACGGACTGCAGCAGCAGGAGACTGACCTCTTCTAAATGAAAATTTGTTGACTCTCAAATTTTGGACTTAGTTAGGGTAGTGGGGCTTCTGGTGACACAGGTCGGCGCGAGAGAGCCCGAGGAGTTTTGGGGTGGTCTCTGCACAGCAGTGGGCGGGGCTGAAGAGTTAAAGGCTGGGGGAGCGGAACTCGGAGCTTCTCGACATTCTGCTATTTCTGCCTGTAGACGCCCGGCTTCCGTCGCCTCCGGCCACCCGCAGGTAGTGGTGTCGAGCGCCGAGACCCGAGAACCGCGCTGGGTGAGGGGCCGCGGGTGGCGGCGCAGTCTTGGTAGGCGATATGAGTTTGGCTGGGGGCCGGGCCCCCCGGAAGACCGCGGGGAACCGGCTTTCTGGGCTCCTGGAGGCAGAGGAGGAAGATGAGTTCTACCAGACGACTTATGGGGGTTTCACAGAGGCAAGAGCCGGGCCCAGGAAGAGGGAGGGGAGGAAGCTAAAAGGAGTCCTGAAGAGAGAAACCTCGGACAAAGAAGGGGACGGGGAATAGAGAGGAGCTCTGGTAGCTGATATCAGACGGGGTGGGCGAGTCGGGATACGGTGGAGTCCTAGAAGGGAGAGCCCTGGATGGGGTAGGAGGGGTCAGGGATGGAGAAGCTCTCTGGAGGCACCCCAAAGTGTGGCAGAAACCTACTGTGTAGTTATCTGATTGCATCTCTCACCGCACTTCTGACGTCTGGTAGACGCGAGGCAAATTGTAGTCACGCGATATATACTCGTTGGCCCACTGCCTGGTTATTCATCTGAAGTATAGAAAGGAACGTCTCCAAAAAATAGAGGGGCTTGGCCTACTTCTTTTTCAGCTTTCAAATCTAAGTGTAAATGTTTCGTTAGATAACCCTTCCTTAATTGCCCTAAAAAATGTCCCTTTTTATTTCCTTCTCAGAACATATTTCAATTTGTAATTAGATTTGGTTTGCTTACTTGTTTGTACTTTCCTATTAGATTGTAAGCTTTGTAAGGTTAAAGATGGTCGGTTTTGTTAAACAGTATAGTCCAGGGCCTAGTCCAGTGTCTGGTTGGGTTGGCACTTGTTAAATTGTATTGATTGAATCTATCCATTCTTTAAATATGTGTTGAGCACCTAGAGCAAGCCAAGCACTGTGATAGGCTCAAGGGAAACAGAAAGTATTAAAAACACCGCTTTATCCTTATGTACTCCAGACCCTAGTAGAGGAACTAGCTGGGTTAACAGTCAGTTTAAAAGTTGTGTGATAAGGAGTAAAATAAGTGTTCTTACTTATAGGGTGCTCTGGTAACACATGGGAGCCAGAGTTGTTGGTCGGGATGGGCAACCCTGGAGGACATGATGTTTAAGCTGAGGACAGTATGAAAAGTGGGCCTTGGCTGGTTAAAGAGCAGTAGGACTGGGAGCAGGAGGAGGAGAAAAGTTAGTCCATGGAGGGGTAGGGCAGAATGTGTAAAGGCACTGAGATCCTGCTCTGGTAACTGCGTGTCTGCTCTCATTCTCCAGACAGTGAAGGAGAATAAAGATTGATATGGCTGGAGGGAGTAGGCATGGGCCAGATCATGTCTGGCATTGTGAGCCATGTTAAGGAGTTTTGCTTTTCATCCAGAGGACTGAGAAGATTCAGCAAAGTTCCATGATCAAATTTGTACTTTAGAAAGATCAAGGAGAATGGTTTGAAGAGGGCAGTGAGAGTAGAGAAACGTAGACAGAAGAGTTCAAGAGAAACTAAGGAAATAGAATCCACAAGACTTGGTGACTGACTGGGAGTCATTACTTACACAACCCTAACCAACTAGTTTAAAATAGAACTCTCTCATCCCTTCTCCAAAGGCCATTTTCCTATTCCTGTCGTTTTACGAGTCGTTGTTTAATATGTACTCTTCATGCTTCCAAAAAGGATTTAAGGAGGCTTATGATATAAACAAAAAGTAGGAACAGTAAAAATAGAGACAGATCAGAAGTAATTGTACCAGGAGCCTCTGCTAAAATGGTAATAGCAATTGAAATTAAATTTAGCTGTGAGTTTCCTGGCAGCCAAACCTTGAATTTCTTTTTTTAGTAAGAAAGAAGCATATAAGTTCTTTCAGAGAGAAAAACTTACTTAGCATTAAGTCCTGGGGAGAATTGCATCCATATATAAGATGTATAAAGTAACAGGGGTTTGGTAGATGATGTAAAAACATTCTCTTATCTAGTCATGGCTATTAATGACCCTCAATAAAAGCCAAAGGAATGGTAGTAAATCTGTAACTTAGTGGAAGCATTTTGATTGGGCACTAAGCTAATGTGTAGTTGAACTACTACCCTCTGGTGATATGACTTAATACCAGCTTAGAGCTGAGGGTATTAGTGTGTTCCCAGGCTGTCTTTCACAAACATCAGTTGGGAGGAAATGATGGTTATCACTGCAGGATTGAACTCTGGCTGGCTTGGAGTGTCAACTGTGTTATTTGCTTGCGTTGGCAGCATGTGTACCAAGATTAGCCCATTAGTCTGCATCACTGATTGAAGAGAGAACCACCTGTTTGAGGTGCCACACTGCCCAATTGACTCCCCTACCCCCAAGTGTTTTTTCCCCTTTCCTTTCCAATGTGGCTGCCATTTTGGCCCTAACCTGCATCACCTCTGGTCTAGGCTATACTCCATGTTCTCTATTCCAGCCCATCTAATCACCTCCAGAGCTTTCTGAAACACTCCTTGTACACAGTTTTCCTCTTCCCCCAAATCTTCAATGGCTCCTCATTATACCTAGCAGTAGTACCCAACTGTTTTTCTGTCCCACACACCTGAGGAATGAGACACATTTCTCAGTAACCTTAGTTTACATTAACAATGATTATCAATGCTAGGACAAGAAAAGAGAGGGAGAGGATTGGGAATCACTGGCCTGCAAGTTAAATCATAGGTTTATTAGCCTGACATTTAAGTTTTTCTATAAATTGAATGCAACCTTCTTTTCAAATCTTACAGTCTTATATGGCAGTCAGTGTTGCAAAGAGGCTGTGCTGGAGCCAAAGGCAGTCAGCTAGGAAGACTTTTTGCCAGAGATAAACCGTCTGCTTTACTTAGGTCTAAATCCTTATTCCATAAAAATGCTATACACATTCCTGCTTCTGCACCTTTGCTCCTGCTATTCCATTTGCCCATGATTCCCTTTTCCCTCTTGGCTGTTTAAATACTACCAGTATTTTAAACCATGGCTCAAGTCCTCTTCATTTCTTCAGAGTCTAAAGCAGGGTTCAGCAAACTACAACCCACTGGGCAAATCTGGCCCACTACCTGTTTTTTGTGTGCGTGTGTGAGGAAGATTGACCTTGAGCTAACATCTGTGCCCATCCTCCTCCATTTTATGTGGGATGCCTGCCACAGCATGGTTTGATAAGCAGTGTGCAGGTCAGCCCCCGAGATCTGAACTCGCGAACCCCAGGCCGCCGAAGTGGATCAGAAGCGGTTCACATGAACTTAACCACTAGGCCGCCCCCCTACTGCTTGTTTTAATCTGGCACTTTACAGAAAAAGTTTGCCCATCTCTGGTCTAAAGGAATAAAGTCCGGGCCAGCCCCGTGGCTTAGCGGTTGAGTGTGCACGCTCCACTACTGGCGGCCCGGGTTCAGATCCCGGGCGCGCACCGACACACCACTTCTCCGGCTATGCTGAGGCCGTGTCCAACATACAGCAACTAGAAGGATGTGCAACTATGACATACAACTATCTATTGGGGCTTTGGGGGGGAAAATAAATAAATAAAATTTAATAAATAAATAAAGGAATAAAGTCTAAAGTTTAGACCTTCCCAGAACACCAGTCCATAGCAAATGTACCTTCTTCTGAACACCTGTAACATTTTATTGGCATTTGATACTTTATATGTTGCCTTGTATTAAAACTTCCTTTTATAATTATGTCCTGCCCTCTACTAGACTGTGAGACCCCTGAAGGTAGAGAACAAACCATGTCCTTTTGTACCCCAGCACTTAACACAGTATGCTACAGGTAAAGGATAATCAATTAATGTTGGAAGGGGTGGTGCTGGAGCCAAAGGCCGTCAGCTAGGAGAGCTTCTTGCCTGAGGAAAATGAAGGGCTGGGTTGGGAAGGAGAGTGGGACAGCCATTATCAAGAAAGCAAAGAGAGTCTTTTCCTCCTGGAGGGGCATTAATGACTCCGATGCCAGCAAGAACCTCATCTCCCTATGTCTTCAGGAATCGGGAGATGATGAGTATCAAGGGGACCAGTCAGACACAGAGGATGAAGTGGACTCTGACTTTGACATCGACGAAGGGGATGAACCATCCAGTGATGGAGAAGCAGAAGAGCCAAGAAGGAAGCGCCGAGTAGTCACCAAAGCCTATAAGGTGCCGGGGGTGTCCTGGTTTTCTTTGGACTTCCTTAATTCCTATTCTCCCCTTCATCAGGTCCCAGTACTGCCCACACCAGTCCCATTTCCTACAGTGCTAGTTTTTTCTTCTTAAGATCGTCATCTTCTTTCTCCTTATCTCTTCTGTTCCCTGGTGTCTGATTCCAATCTGTCCCCAGGAGCCTCTCAAGAGCTTAAGGCCTCGAAAGGTCAGCACTCCAGCTGGAAGCTCTCAGAAGACCAGAGAAGAGAAGGCACTGCTACCGTTAGAACTACAGGATGATGGCTCTGACAGTGAGTGGGGATGTTTGGGTCAATTGATGAAGTTGGAATATGATGATAAAGTATTGTATCAGTGTTAAATTTACTGAAGTTGATAACTGTACTATGGTTATATAAGGAAAGTCTTTTTTTTTTTTTTTGTGAGGAAGATCAGCCCTGAGCTAACATCCATGCTAATCCTCCTCTTTTTTTTTTGCTGGGGAAGACTGGCTCTGAGCTAACATCTATTGCCAATCCTCCTCCTTTTTTTTTTGTTCCCCCCAAAGCCCCAGTAGATAGTTGTATGTCATAGTTGCACATCCTTCTAGTTGCTGTATGTGGGACGCGGCCTCAGCACGGACGGAGAAGCGGTGTGTCGGTGCTCGCCAAGGATCCGAACCCGGGCCACCAGTAGCGGAGCGCGCGCACTCAACCGCTAAGCCACGGGGCTGGCCCGGAAAGTCTTTATTCTTAAGAAATATACACTAAAGTATTTCGGGGTAGAGAGCCATGATGTATGCAACTTTCAGATCATTCAGAAAAAAAAAATTCATACATATATACAGAGTGCAAAAGGGGCAAAATATTAACAGTAGGTGATATGGGTAAAGGATATATGGGTGTTCTTTGTACCTATTTTTGTAAATTTGAAATGATTTCCAAATAAAAAGTTTTTAAATTAAAAAAAAATAAAGGAGATGGACATGAATTCAAAGATTTCTTCCTCTCTGACTTCCTTTCCAGGTCGGAAATCCATGCGTCAGTCTACAGCTGAACATACACGACAGACATTCCTTCGGGTACAGGAGAGGCAGGGCCAGTTACGGCGGCGAAAGGGACCCCACTGTGAGCGGCCACTGACCCAGGAGGAGCTGCTCAGGGAGGCCAAGATCACAGAGGAGCTCAACTTACGTTCACTGGGTCAGTTATTCGTTTGAGAACAGTGGGTAGAGGGGCTGTGGAGCATGAGAAAAACTGAGACCTGGAGGACCTGAAGAACTGGAGGATGGAGATGTGGGACAAGGGAATCAGAAGTAAAAAATAAGGAGAGTAAGTGATTAAGATCAAGGACCTAGACAGTTCTGAGGGCTCTGAAGAACAAGTTATATTGAAGTACTTTGGTGTCAAATAAGAGTTGTACAGAACTGAGTTTAAATCCTAGTTCTGCTGTTCATTTGCTGTAAGACTGCAGGCAAATTACTTAATCCTCTTGCATCTTGCTTTCTTTGTTCACAAAATGGGTAGTAATGCCTACTTTAATGACCATAAGAATTAGAAATTCAGTAGAATCAGTCAGTTCATGAGATAAATTGCTTTACAGTAAAAATTCTTTAAAATCTCTTCAGTTTATGTGCTGTTGGGTGCACAATCATATACAGTAATATACTGTAGAATGTAGAAAAACACATTTTTTCATAGGTTGGTGAGAGTCTCAAATCATGAGAGGTATGTGAGAAATTGAGGGAACAGCAGATTTCACACCTCTCATCACATGCTCACTCTGGGGCATACTTTCATTGAGTGAAGTAACAGCTAGAATCACCTATAGTATTTAATTATTATTTCTCTGTCTCTCAGAATCTCTTGCTCTTTTTTGACCAAGCGTATATAGTTGAACATGAGTAACCCAAAGGTGATTTTACTGTGGAGTGGAAGATAGTTTACCCAGAATATCTGGGAACCAGCTCATTCCAGTTTAATGATAGTCTTGAAATTTAGATAACTCTAAAAGACCACCATGACTGAGAAAAGATTTAGTTCATTTCCAACATCTTCAGGATGTATTCTCATGTCTTTTTTTTTTTTTTGGCTTTAAAATGGGAAATATAATCTTTATCTCTGTAACGGCAATTCAGTACTTTAAAACAGTAGCTATCCCTCAAAACACATAAATGTCTGAGAAGTAGTGCTAATAATGAAGTCAACTTGATGTCACTGTAATTACAACCTGCATTCTCTGACCACACTGACTGGTTTGGACCACTCTAAAGAGAGTGACTCCTAGGCATTTGACATCAGTAACTGACATAGGAGACCCTGAAGGGGCAGGTTCAGCAGGGGAAAAAATAAAAAGTTCATTTTTGAACATGTTGAATTTGAGGCATCTCTGAACAATTCATGCAGTGCTGAGAGGTCAGTTAATACAAATCAGGTGCTTGGACAAGAGATCTGGGCTGGAAATATAAATTTGGAAGTCTTTAGAATATGGATGGTAATTGATGACGTTGGAATGGATCAGATCAACCGAGGATAAAGCATAGAGCAGGAGGAGAAGACAGAGGCCCAAAGAGTCTTGCAGACACCAAAATGTAATGGTCTCGTACAAGAGGAGGAGCTTAGAAAAGAACCTAAGATGTGGCCAGAGAGTTGGAGAACTCCAGGAGAGTTGTCTCAAGAATGCCAAGGAAAGAGAGTGTTTCAAGAGAGTAACTGCTGAATGCTGCTGAGATGCCAGTTAAGAGAACTGAGAAGTGCCCGTTGGTTTTCGTGACATGGAGTCTGTCAGAGATGACCTTAGGGAGCACTTTGTGGGGACCAAGCCATTTTCAAGTTGGTTGGGAAGCCAGACTTTTTAAGTTTGGCTATAAACGGTAGGAGAAGGAATAGAAGCTATAGGGGAGGCTGGAGTCAAGGTAGAGTTTTTCTTGTTGTATTTTGTTCAAAGATTGGAGGAACTGTCTGTATCTTTAGTGAGAGGCAACTGAAAGAGTTTAATGATAGAGAAGAAAGAAAAGGATAGTTAATGGCATAGGTTTTTGGGGAAATGGGGTCGGGGGGAGCTACAGCACAGGTGAAGGAATTGGCCTAAGTTATGAGGAAAGAAAGAAGGGTGGCTTTTAGTAGGTTTGTAAATCCAGAGCAGGACACTGCAGTGGTTCTCATCTGACGTCTTTTAGGCACTGTCGTCTGTCAGGTGTTGGGGATAGAGTTGGAAGCTTGAGGAGAGTGAAGACTGTTTGAAGCAGCTGTAGAGATAGGATTATCTGCTGGTGTTTAGGGGTCTGTCGAAGTTTGGGACTGTGAATTTATGGTGGTTCCAGTCTACCCTGTTGTGTAATTTTTCTCCTGTAGCACTCAGCAATCCAGGTCTTGGCGAGGGGGTTTAGATTGACAAGAGAATGACTGAAGTGATAGATTGACGAACCTAAGGTCTATTTAAAAAGGAAAATGAAAGCTCGAAGGGGCTGCTGGATAGAGAGAATGAGGAGATATCTGTGTACTAAAGGTACAGAAGAAGTAGAAGAACAGAGGTGTTTAGGGTAGTGGAGCAAACAGACCTAAAGGATAGGATGTTGTGGTCAGAGCCTGGGATGTATGATTTTTATTTTTTTTATTTTTTTTTATTTTTTTATTTTTTAAAGATTTTATTTATTTATTTTTCCCCCCAAAGCCCCAGTAGATAGTTGTATGTCATAGCTGCACATCCTTCTAGTTGCTGTATGTGGGACTCGGCCTCAGGATGGACGGAGAAGTGGTGCCTCGGTGCGCGCCCGGGATCCGAACCCGGGCCACCAGCATCGGAGCGCGTGCACTTAACCACCAAGCCACGGGGCCGGCCTATGATTTTTAATATTTCAGAGCTGGGGCAATTTCAGGCAATGACAAAGTCTAGGCTATAGCTATAGCAGAATGGAGTAACTAAAGTGTCATGGACAGGAATGTTGTTAAGTGATGAGGTGGTAAAGAAACTGGGGGGATGGGGTGTTGAAGGGGCTATCCATGTGCACTTTAAAGTCACGAGGGTGACCTAAGATGATCAGAGTTGGGGTGGAGAGAAAGAGTGGAAACCATTGCCAAAGTCTTCAGTGAGTGAGGGAGTGACCATGACTAGGAAGGAGAGAAGGTGATCTAGACTGTTGGAATAGGTCTCAAAAGGGAAGCAAGTTTGCTGGTGGTTAGAGGAGTAGTGCTCTGAAAGCTGTAGTGTGGGGCTCAGTAGGACACAGGCATAACCTGTGTGGGATGTGAGAAAACCAGCAGCCTCTACCGGATGGCTGCAGGGAGAGTGGATGACAGGTTTCTGGTAAGGCAGGTTGTGGAAGGAATGCTGAGTGAGGAACTTGAGGATATAGATGAGTTGGCTGATTATAGAGCAGGAGTTCCAGAGGGTACAGGGAAGTGTTTGAGAGAAGGAGGAGAAGGGTTGGAAGCTTGTTTCAATGGAAAGAAAGCAATATTACCAGCCAGAATTCAAGTACAGAAGAGGTTAAATCATTCAAGAGATTTCTAGAGGACTCTTCTGGTCAGACTTTATCTAGAGGATTGTGTTCATAGTACCCATGTTTAAGGAGGACACAGAAATTTGGAGTTCATTCAGAAGAAAGGGACCAGCAATATTTTGACCTGTTTATGCATTAACAAATATTTATGGAATGCCTGTAATTTGAAGAATGCTGCATGACCCTGATAATATGTAGGTAATATGAGTGACAGTCACTGCCCTTGAGGAGGAGACATATATATCAACAGTGAACTGCCATAGAGCAGTGTCACAGGGCCCAGCCAAGGGGACTGGTGAATTAGAGAGGAGTGCCTGAAAGGAGGAGCAGTTACTCAGCTCAGCTCATTGTTGCCATGTGAGAATACAGATCCAAGGTTGCCAGATTTTATTATTTTTTAAGAGGGACTGGAAATCTCTGTATTTAAATGTAGTTTTCTAATTCTTAAATGTCAGCAACTGATTCGTATTTTTCTTTAAAACACTATACAGATCAAACAAAACACTTAAGTGGGCTGCCAGCTTGCAACCTCTGCCATAGAGTCTGATAAGTACAGTAATAGAAGAGTGTCCTGGGCAAAAGGAGGGAGTGACTCAAAACCAATTGTATGAGCGATGGTTCAATGGAATGGATGTGTGATCAGCCTGGAGAGATATGGACACTAATTTCAACTATTTAAAGGACTGTCATGTGGAAGACAGATTAGATTTGTGTCCTTTATGGCCTTAAAAGATAAAACGGAGGGCTGGCTCCAGGGGGTAGTGGTTAAGTTCACGCGCTCCATTTCGGCTGCTCAGGGTTCACAGGTTCGGATCCTGGGCGCAGACCTACACACCGCTTATCAAGCCGTGCTGTGGCAGGCATCCCACATATAAAGTAGAGGAAGATGGGCACGGATGTTAGGCCAGGGCCAATCTTCCTCAGCAAAAAGAGGAGGATTGGTAACAGCTATTAGCTCAGGGCTAATAGCTGAGGGCTAATCTTCTCACACACACACAGAAAAAAGATAAAAGAGAGTCATCAGGAAGTATATTTCAGCTCAAAATAAGAAAGAACTCTGTAATGACTAGAGATGCCTAAAGATGTAATACATTGCCTTGAATGGGAGCAAGTTGACAGTGCAGTTGTAGAGGAGTATCCGGGGAAATGAGCAGGCTCCTCATAAAAGGGTCCCTTCCAACTCTGAAGTCCTACAGTTCTGAGCGGGAGAGGAACCAAGTGGACTTAAGAAATGATGAGCAGCAAGGATGTCAAGAGGGGCAAGCAGAAAACTTACGAGATGCTAGAGGGCCTTCAAGGACTTTCATAATTGGTTTGAGTAGGCAGTGACTAGACAGCAAGGAAGATAACAGAGAGATTGTAGGACAGACTGGGGTGTGGGAAGAGAGGAAACTCACCATCCCCTCATTCCTTCCTTTGACCGTGAAGAGACATATGAGCGGCTGGAGGCTGACAAAAAGAAGCAGGTTCACAAGAAGCGGAAGTGCCCTGGGCCCATAATCACCTATCATTCAGTGACAGTGCCACTTGTTGGGGAGCCAGGCCCTAAAGAAGAGAATGTCGATGTAGAAGGGTGAGTGGATCTCAAGGGGAAAAGAGAAGACAGGTTTTTCCCTTCCATATTGCTTGTATTTTCTCAGCTCCATTCCACTTGCTCTCCTCACACAGCTCTCTCTAACACTTGGCTATCTTTCAGATTCCTCTTCCCTTCAGCTCCTTATTTCCTCTCTTTTAGCTTCTCTCTTCTCTTTCTTTTCTGTTTTTCCATCCAGCACACCCAGCTTTCTTTTCCCCTGTCACTTAAGAGATTCTCTCAGAATGTCGTCATCACTCTGTCTCCTCTTTCCTCACCTCTCTGATCTCTTTCTTTCTTTATCTGTTGTTTTCTCTCCTCAGCTCTTTGTGTTTTTCTCTGTCTTTTCCCTCAGGCTTGATCCTACTCCAACGGCTTCTGCATTGACTCCCCGTGCTGGGACTGGACCCATCGTCCCTCCTGCTCGCTGCTCACGTACCTTCATCACTTTTAGTGATGACGCGACGTTTGAGGAATGGTTTCCCCAGGGGCGGCCCCCAAAGGTCCCTGTTAGAGAAGTCTGCCCAGTGACACATCGCCCAGCCCTATACCGAGACCCTGTTACAGACATACCCTACGCCACTGCTCGAGCCTTCAAGATCATCCGTGAGGCCTACAAGAAGTACATCACTGCCCACGGACTGCCACCCACTGCCTCAGCCCTGGGCCCTGGCCCACCACCTCCTGAGCCCCTCCCTGGCTCTGGGCCCCGAGCCTTGCGCCAGAAAATCGTCATCAAATGAAGAGATGTCTAGTCCTTAGAAACCTCTTTCCTGCCCTGACTTGGGGCTCTTAATGTTCCCCCTCCTCTCCCTGTTTCTCCCTTTGTCCTCTCTGATCTTTGCCCAGCCCTTTTCTGTATTTCTTTCCCCATTTTTTCCCCTAGTTACTACTGGTTTTGTGTTTTTTATTTTTAATCCAATAAAATAGAAAGATCCCTTTTGTCTGGTGTCTAACCTGTGGTTGGGAGCAGGAAGTATTTTTGAATGTCTGAGTTTATATGGGTCTTTATATTTGTTTGATAGCATTTATTATGAGCTCCCCCTTTTAAATTGTAAAGTATTCCTACCTCCAACTAGATTATAAACACCTTAAAATTAGACAGCAAAACAAAATCCTTATATTCACCTTTATATCACCTTATATTAACCACTTTGAATATAGCAGGCACCAAATAAGTAGGACCTATCTAGGACTCAGGCTTGTCCCTGAAGGGGAAGGAGAGGAGGTGCCATGGCTATTGGTGGCCACTAGAGGCTCTCAGGGCTGGGCAAGGTATGGGGGCTGTGTATATGTGATCTCCCACTACCCCCCACCTGGCCAGAGCTAAAATAATAAAATGCTGAGCTCACCGTTCCCCCACTCTCTGCTCCGGCACCAGTCTCCTGCTGCTGCCAGGATAGTGCTCCAGTAGAACACACAGACCAACCAACAGAAGGGGAGGTGAGAAGGGAGGTGGCAACCAGGACTGGTAGGTGGGGAAGCCAGGGGGCTTATGGATCAGAGCCTGGTGGGAGATGGGAGGAGAAGAGTGGCTCCTAATGGGAATAATATGGAGTGTGTTTCTGTCTCTGTCACTCAGCGTATGTTTCTGCCACCATCTGTCCTGTCCCTTAACCATATAGTTTATATTGTCAGTGTAAGTACCTCACACTTTCTGGATCTTTCATATTCAGCATGGTGTGTATGTGTAGCTTATGTGTATTTTTCATATTGTAAAAAAATGTGCAAATTTAATCCTTCCACTGTTTTTAGAGAAGCTTTATCCCATTTGGAAGGCATTTATTTCCCACCCATTGGTCTGGTGTCACCTTCCCGTCCAAAGCCAGAGACAAATTATGGGGACTCAGCCCTTCTCCTGAGGCCGTACCACCCAGCCCCCAACTTGAAAGTCCCCCAGCTCCTCTGAGCCCTTGCTTTCCCTTAGGATTTAGAATTTTAGCAAAGAAAGTGAAATTTTTTTTTTTTTTTTTGAGGAAGATCAGCCTTGAGCTAACATCCATGCCAGTCCTCCTTTGTGTTGAGGAAGACTGGCCCTGGGCTAACATCCATGCCCATCTTCCCCCACTTTATATGGGACCCCGCCACAGCATGGCTTGACAAGCGGTGCATCGGTGCACGCCCGGGATCCAAACCCTGGGCCACCGCAGCAGAGCTCGTGCACTTAACCGCTACGCCACTGGGCCGGCCCCCGAGAAAGTGAAATCTTGATCCCCCACAATAAAAGAGGAAATGAGGGTAGGGTAAGAGAACTATCTCCCCCACCACCCCACCCAATCCTCCTTGCTTTCTTAAACCAGTTTAGGAAAAAGGCTGGATTATGGGGAAGAGAGGAGGAATTTCCCTGAAGCTCTCTGCCCGCCCCCATTCCTTTCAATAGGAACTAGGCATGGGGCCAGCTGTGTTGGCAGGGCCACTGGCAGCTGTGCTAGGGCAAGAGGTACCGACAGGCGAGGTTATAGGAGAGGGTTGCTGCCAGGATTTCTCTGTCATAGACACGGAAGCCAAATCCAGCTTGAATTCCTGGGGTCCCCATCCAGAGTGGCTGAAGCTAGGGAAGCAGGAAGAAGGAGGCTCTGGTTCTGACTAAACAACCTAACCTTTCTCCATCTTCCCATGCCCACTAGGTTTCTAACCTGCAAGGCACCCACTTCATTGTTCTGCCCCCTGGCTGGTCTCTCTGTGTCCCTACTGTGTCCATGTACATCTTTCCATTGTCCAACTACTTTCCCCATGTCCCCCAGGCTCCGTGAGTGCCACACAGTGGGGAGGGGGTGGGGGCCATCATGTCATCGTATCAGAAGGAATTGGAGAAATACAGAGACATAGATGAAGATGAGATCCTAAGGACCTTGAGCCCTGAGGAGCTAGAGCAGCTGGACTGCGAGCTACAGGAGATGGACCCCGAGGTAGGGGCTCCAGCAGAGAAAACCAGAGGCAGTCCCCAGGCATTTGGGAAGGGTGCGGGGCCCTGGGTGGCTGAGACCAGGGTGACCTACAGGGCCTGGAGTCCCAAGAGGGCCAGGGAAAAGGTATCTGGAGATGTTTTAGGGAGCCCTGGAGGTACCCCAGGTCAGAGGGGAGATCTGACTTGCTCCCTAAAACTCATCCCTAAGAACATGCTCCTGCCAGCTGGACTAAGACAACGTGACCAGACAAAGAAGAGCCCAACAGGGCCACTGGACCGAGAGGCCCTTTTGCAGTACCTGGAGCAGCAGGCACTAGAGGTCAAAGAGCGTGATGACTTGGTGCCCTTCACAGGCGAGAAGAAAGGTATGGAGACCCTAACATCCATGCCTCCCGAAACCCCAATGGTTGTCTCTTACATGTCCCCTCTTCAGCTTCCTTCTCACCTTCCAGCTTCTCGCTGCCTGGGGACTCTGCTGCCCTGAAACCTGCATGCCAGCTTGCACTCTTCAGCTCTTATATGAGATCAGGAAACCTAGGAGTCTTGAGTTTGCAGAGGACTCGGGCTTTACAGTGGCCTCTAGTGACCCAGCATTCCACCTTTTAGAGAAGGAAAGGAAGCTGGAGGCCACAATCTTAGGAGAAATGACCTTTACCTGAACCATCCTTCATCTCCCATCAGGGAAACCCTATATTCAGCCCAAGAGGGAAATTCCAGTACAGGAGCAGATCACTCTGGAGCCTGAGCTGGAAGAGGCACTGGCCCATGCCACAGATGCTGAAATGTGTGATATTGCAGGTGGGCAGCTGTGGGGAGTTGAGGAGAGTGGGAAGATCAGGAGCAGGGGGTGCCTAGCCATGGCATTGGACTAGTGGGGATAGACCTGAACCAGGATATGGATGTCTGAGAAAGCCTCAGGTAGTAGTTTTTAATTTTTCTTATTTCTTTGTTTGTTTATGTATTCATTCATTCATTTTTTAATTTAGTAAGTTAACATCTCAAGGGCAATTTTACAGGGATTATAAAGCAAATAAATGTGGAACTATTCTGCCTGAAAACAGGAGGAAGTCTGAGAGACTCCCTCACCCTCTAGTGGCTCCTTAGGGACCTTCCCTTAGCCCTATCTCAATTTTTTAAAAACCACCGCCTTAATGGAAGGGACCCCTGGGGCCAAGGGAGGGTGAGAACCTCTTTGGAAGAGTGGAAGAGGTCAGGCTTTAAAAATGCAACAGATTCAAAATGAGGTGAGAGGGGAGCCTTGGAACAAGTCCCTTCTTCTCATTCCCTGTCCCCCTCTGCTTACTCTCTCCAGCAATTCTTGGCATGTACACACTGATGAGCAACAAGCAATACTATGATGCCATCTGCAGCGGAGAAATCTGTAATACTGAAGGCATTAGCAGTGAGTGTGTTTGGGAGCATGGTCCCCAGGCTCTTGGCAGGCAGTCCCAAGGTCTGAGGAAAGGTAGCAAATGGAGAAACTGGTGAATCAGGGAGAGGACATGGTGCACAAGTGATAAAAGAACCAATGGGGAGGAGATTGTGGGGAACATGTTGGGGTTTCCTTCCTGCCCTCACCCACCAGGTGTGGTGCAGCCGGACAAGTATAAGCCAGTGCCAGATGAGCCCCCAAATCCCACAAACATTGAGGAGATACTAAAGAGTGTTCGAAGCAATGACAAAGAGCTGGAGGAGGTGAACCTCAATAATATACAGGTATTTGACCCCCATTCTCCAAACAATAACACTGGCATAACTCTGCTGATGTATGTGAGTCCCTTAGCCCACCATCTCCTATTCCCCTCTGATAGGACATCCCGATACCCATGCTAATTGAGCTGTGTGAGGCAATGAAGACAAATACCCATGTCCGGAGCTTCAGTCTGGTGGCCACAAGGAGTGGTGACCCCATTGCCAATGTAAGGCTAGTTGACATCCCTAGCCTTCTCTCCATACCTTGACATGTACCCCTGGCTGGGCAGTCATAAAGGGTGGTGGTGATATTCCCATCATGCTTTCTTAGGGTAGCCTGGATGGAGACTCCTCCCCTCAGTCCTACGGCTTCCAGCTCTGAAATCCTCAGATCATCTTCCCAAAGAGCCACAACCCTCTTTACTACCCCCAAATCCACTGCAGACTTAATCTGCTTCCTCTACTACCTGCCCTCACTTGTCTCCTTCTAGCCCCACCTGCAGCTCCTTATGGACTCTTCTCAAAGAGCTGTGTTTCCCTCTTGCTCCTATTCTTTCTCTCTTCAGTCATCTGTGAAACTGTCCCCTAATCCTAATCCAAGTCCCTACTACCCAGGCGGTGGCTGACATGTTGCGCGAGAATCGTAGCCTCCAGAGCCTGAACATTGAATCCAACTTCATTAGCAGCACAGGGCTCATGGCTGTGCTGAAGGCAGTTCGGGAAAATGCCACACTCACTGAGCTCCGTGTAGACAACCAGGTCAGCATTCCCTTCCCCTGGTCTTTGCATTCAGCTAATACTGAGTCTCCTCCCTGAGGGAGCCACTGGGTCAAGATCTCATCTAATCTTGTTTGAATTCTCCTCTTCATTGTCTCTATGAGGGGAGCCAAGTCAGCACCTCTCATCACTCACTCTGGAGAAACAAACCTCTTTGACCTCCCAAAGGGTCAGTGGTCTGGGATGGTGAACAACCCAGACAGGGTGGCTGACCGCTTTCATCTCTTCCTTCCCCAGCGCCAGTGGCCTGGTGATGCAGTGGAGATGGAGATGGCCACCATGCTTGAACAGTGCCCTTCCATTGTCCGCTTTGGCTACCACTTTACACAGCAGGGGCCACGAGCTCGGGCAGCCCAGGCCATGACCCGAAACAATGAACTACGTGAGTAACTGCAGACACGGTGTGTAGAGGAGAGGACAAAGTAGGTGCAGAAGGTGGTGGGTCCTCCTGAAAGCTGACTTAGTGACTAACACCCTGGATGCTGCCAAAGCGATATTGACATGAGAAGTTCAAATCCCATAAGTGATCAGAAAGTAGATAGAAAAGTCCCCCTGCTCCAAATACATAGCAGTGGAGATGTGAAAAGGAAGCTAGACATACCTGTTTGGAGGCATGATATTTTTATTTGCTGTGTTTTCTTTTTTTGTTGTTGTTAATGTGGGGTAGGCATGTTTGGTGGCCTAAGACATTACCTCTTTATAAGTCTGGCCAAAGTTGTGGACAGGAGAAGAAGAGTACCTTTGCAGGAAGCAAGAGATGGAACAAAGACTTGTGTTTACTCTTCCTCCTTTACAGGTCGCCAGCAAAAAAAGAGATAACACTACCTTTCCCTTTACCAACTAGAGCTGGGAGCCCTGAATGCTTAAATCCTCATCTATCCCTCTTTCCTGTAAATAAAGGCCCTTCTGTCCACTCTGCATGCCTCCTGCCTTGGGCTTTGGGGTGAGAATCTTGGCGCTAACCCCCAAGGGTTACTGCCAGTTCATCAGGGGATTATTTATACTCTGGGGATCAGCAGGCAGGGAGGTTCAAGTTACTAGGAGGAGGTGGGGGACCTCCCTCCCTTGGTGTTTCCCATAATCCTACCAATGCCTTTAGTCTCTTCTACTTTCACAGGGTACCTAGCCTTGGCCCTGTTTCCAGATGTGGCCAGGCCCCCCAGTGCCTATGCACAACCCTCATGTGGTTCGAAGGAGGAAAGGACTTTGAGTGGAAATGGGGAAGAAGACAACATGAAGGACAAAGACTTCCTTCTGACAGACTTATTAATAGGGCACTAGGCTGCATGCAGCTGACGCTTGGCATGACTTTGCCAGAGGTGGGGGAGGGGTTAGAAGTATGGGGAGCTGTGTGCATTGCAGGGAAGGATTGGCTGGGCTGAGAATAAACAGATTTGAAATCCTGAAATGGGACAAGGAACTAGACTCGAGGAAAGTTAGGCTCCCAGTGCCCACTGTAGTTTATTTGAATTGAATGGGGAGAGGGGGGTGTCAGTCCAAGGGGAGGTCAGGGGGTTCCTCCTCATCAGAGTCAAATTCAACATTCTCATCTTTTACCCATCGACCTCGTCCATCTGGGATCCATCCAGAGCTGGAAATATCAGAGAAAATAGAATTGATCAGGAAAGGAGGTTTAAGAAGTTAGTGAGTATAAGGAAAAACAATCAAAAAGGTCTGAAAAAAGGAAGATCAGAGAGAAACAGAACATCTGAGGAAAGTGATTCTGCATACTCACCTTCGAAGGGTGAGGTAATGGTCCAAGGCTCGTCTTCTCGTGGGGCTCATAGGTGCAGGGGATGAGACAGTTGCTGACTCCTTGGCCTGTAGACCAGCCCCAGGCTCAAGTTCTCTACTGATCTGCCCACTTTGGAGTTCAACCTCTGGGGGTGGCAAAGGGGAACGGGAGACGGAAGAACGAGGGACTTCTGGTCTGGGTAGAGAAGAATCGAAGTCTTTAAAAGCTGTTGAGGAAAGGGCCAATTCTCCTGTGACTCCCAACCCCTTACAACAGTGCTTCCTAATCTGTGTTCCTCAAGATGTTAATAAGTGTTCTGCATAAAAAGGATGTTAGAATCAAATGAATTTAGGAAAGGCTAGGTTAAAAAAATTTTTTTTTTAATCTCGAGGCTTTGTAGAGCCCTTAAAATATACAAATATTACTATTCTTCAAGTAGCATTACACAGTGCCATTTCCCAAACTATTTTTTAAAAATTACAAAATTTGGGGCTGGCCCGGTGGCGCAGCGGTTAAGTGCACACGCTCCACTTCAGCGGCTCCGGGTTCGCAGGTTTGGATCCCGGGCACGGAGCGTTGCACCGCTTGTCAAGCCATGCTGTGGTGGCATCCCATATAAAGTAGAGGAAGATGGGCACAGATGTTAGCCCAGGGCCAATCTTGCCCAGCAAAAAGAGGAGAATTGGCAACAGATGTTAGCTCAGGGCTGGTCTTCTTCACACACACAAAAAAAATTACAAAATTCTCTTTTTCCTGAAATATCAGTTAACATCTCTAGAACCCAAGTATTCCTCAGAATACAATTCAGAAAACAATAATTTTAGAGCCATCTATTTCCTTCTGCCCCTCCCTACCTTTGGCTTTCCCACCCACAGACCTGTACTTCCGGCGGCTGCAACTGTTATAGTGAGGAGCTCTGTGCAGAGCACTCTGGGTGATAAGTCGAGTCTGGGTTAACAGAGGAGCCTGGTATGGAGATGGGAGACAGAGTCAGAGCCTTCAGAGCTCGAAAGAAGCCCAAACCCTTCAAGCCTAAGGTGTGCAGCAGAGTCCTGCCGGAACACACCCTCCCCTCTCTGATTACCTCAGCTTTGGTCTCTTCTCTCCTCAATTCATTCTGCTGTCTTGGATTCTGCTCCATTCCCTTTCCTGGCTGCTTCTTGCCATAGAAAAGCTGCAGGCCTGAGGGAAAAGGGGAAGAGAATTAAAAACAGAGCACCAAGAGTGGTCTGCAGAGATTCTGAGAGTTTGTTCTCTATCTCCTATATTCCCTCAAACTTACTGGACAGATGTTTCTTGCCTGCACGGTGGGCAGTTAGCATGGCCAAGGTGTCCAGTACAGGTCGGTGGGGACAGATGGCACAAGCAAAGCTGGAGAGAAGAAGATAATTGGTCTCAAGGGAGTGGGGTCTCTGCCGTAGGTTCCACCCTGTCCTAGCAGTCCTTTCCAAAGCCCAACACCCAAGTCTCCCAATCTCCACCACTCACATCCCTGGCCCTCACTCGCCGCCAGAGAACCCTAGGTACTCCCGCTCTCCTCTTTAATAACAAAAGTTTATTGAGCCTCTAACCGCAGAACCCTCAGGTTTGATCCACTTCTCGCCCTCACCGTCCATCCCGTAGCATCAGCGCCTCATCCTCTGGGATATAACTGGCCAGCAGGTCCCCGACTCTTCGTTTCTGCAGGGGATACGGGAAGAAGTCCGGACGGGATCAGCGGGATAAGAGGGAAAGACGAAAGGGAAATGATAGGGACGACGATTCAAACGGAATAAGGATCATGCGGAGAACAGCGATCATAAGCGAGGAAGGGGTCTCTATCCTTCTCTAGACGCCTGGCTCCCTCCCGCGCCCCCCGCCCCAAGCTGTTGTCAGAGCAACAAAACAGCTCCTTCACAGCCTTCAGAAGGCAGCTGAAGCTGCTCCAGATGCTCTCCTCTCGCGCTTACTTTGAGCACATTGAGTTGACTCCAATCGTCCCCTTCCCTCTTGAAAGACATCACAACCGTGAGTCCCAGAAACGATCAATTCTATCGTACCGCTTCCGCCACTCCTTTCAGGCCACCGTAGCAAGAGTGGGGCGTCTCCTTTCCTTCTTGGCTCTTTCCGGTTGGCCTACTTACTTCCGGGGATGAGCTTCCATCATGCTCTGCGCGACCCCGAAAGTCCGCCTCTAGCCTGTCGAGGGGGACTGCATGTCCTATGGTGTCTTGCGACCCCGCAGACGCGGTGCCTTTTGGGAAATGAAGTCTTTTTTTCAAAGAGCTTCCTTCCCGGCCGGATCCAGGCCCTTGTATCTTGGCAAGTTCGAGACGTTTGGAGGGACAAGAAATTAGATGTGGAGCTGAATTTGAGGGTGTGATTGATTTGGTGCGGAGCGGGCCTCTGAGAACCTCTGAGTGGGAAGTGTACTACAAACTCTCGCAATCATTACGTGCTTCGTCTGCGGCCACAGCCCACCCGGAGTGGGCCTGATTTGTTCCTGACCCTAGCGAACCAACCCCGGGAAGGGGCGGAGCAGGGGTGGGGGTGGTCCAGAGGCCGGGCTGCCCGACTTAGGGCAAACTGAGCGGTGTTGGGGAGGGTGTCTAGAGTTCAAAGGTCAGAGGTCAATGTAGCAAGTTGTGGAGGGTCGAAAGTCGCGGGGGTACTAAGGAAAGACTCAGGTAGGGACTGAATACTCAGGGTACAGACTTGTGGGAAAGGGGCTTGGAGGGAGGAGAAGCGAGGGTGGAGGGGACGCATAGTGCCGGAGGGAGGCGGGGAGACTTAGGAGAGAAGACAAAAGGGGAAAGGAATCCCCGGGATATCCGTTCCCAGACCCCCGGCCGGTCACTATCGGTCACTTTAGCTGGGTCTCCCGCAGTTGCAACCCCAGCTGTCCGCAGGGTGAGGAGATGGCTTCTCCCTCTAGACAAGCCCCCTTCGGAGGGTCAGGACTGCTTCAAGGGAGCCGGGCTCGTTCTTATGGAAGCCTGGTGCAGTCTGCCTGCTCCCCAGTGAGGGAAAGACGCTTGGAGCATGAGTTGGCGCCCGGAGACACCCTAGCTGGACTAGCACTCAAATACGGGGTGACGGTGAGTCTTCCAGGATTGGAATGTGGACAACCATTCTCTTACAAGAGTTTTATTCCTCAGAATGTAGTAGCTCTTCTAGGCATCTTCTCCTGAAATTTTCCTAGTTGTGTTGTGTTATCTGATCCACTTCTATCTTTTTGTTTGTTTTCCCATCTCAGCGTTTCACTCTCTGGTTGGGACGTATCCTGTCCCACTATCCCAATGGAGAGGAGCAGCTCCTATTTATTATGCCAGTCACTGTGCTAGGGGCTTTGCATACTTTAGCCCATTTGATCCTCACATCCCTATCAAGCATGCAATTATTGCCCCCTTTTTACAGATGAAGAAACTGAGACTTAGATTGGTCAACCAATTTGATCAAGGTCAAATAAATAATGAGTGTTATAGAGGGGGAATTCAAACAGATCTGTCTTACTCCAAAGCCTGTGCTATTAACCAATAGAAACTTTTTAATTGAGAGTGATTAACATTTACAGCAGATAATGGAGGGCTGGGTTTTAGTTCTAAGTTCCTAAAGTGTCTCTCTCTTGTTCTTTTTTCCTCCTCAATGCTCTGCCTTCTTTTTTCCAGTTAGATGGCCTCCTTGATGTAAAACAGGTGCTTTCTACACCAAACATTTGAGGTCAAGCATAGGGTATTTTTGATAGGTGTAAAAATATATTGCACTAAAGTTGATGAGGGTTTTTTTCCCCCATATCCTGTTGAATTTAGCCAATATTTTTATGCTTGGTGTGTTTAAAGCACTGTGGTAACCATCTTGGGAGGTAGAAACATAAATAAAATGTATAGTTGCTGCCCTCATGTAATTTACAGTCTAGTGAGAAATGGAGAGGGACACAAATAATGATTGTAGGTGACAGCATGTGGTGAGTTTGTAGAGGTATTAACAAAGGGTGATAAATCAGAAAAGAAAATTAATTTTTATTTGGCAGGGGGCGGGGGGTGGACATCAGTGCAAATTTGAAGGGAGCCATCACGATGGGCCTTGAAAGACTTAGAAGTTCCTTCCTCTATGCTCCTCTCTACAAACCTATGTAATCCAGTTGTTTGCACCTTCTAAATCTTTGTCTTTCCAATAGCCTATACTCTCCTTAAAGTACCGAAATATTTCCTTTCAATTTAAATCTCTAGAGTCTGGCATAGTCCCCAGCACATAGAAGCTTAATCGGTGTTTTTTGAATGAATGAAAGTATGGCTAAGATTTCTGCTCATGGAGATTGGGAGTATAGGAAAGTGACCATTTCAAGTAGAGGGCTTGGCCTAAACAAAGGAAGTGGATGTGGAAGTACTGAGCAGCCCCTCCATCCCAGCAGAGGCTCAGAAGCCATGCAAAGAAAGGCACTGTGCTACTAGTGCATTGACAATTGTGGGGTTTCCTTATAGCCCTGTACCCTCCAGTACGGAAGAACTGTAGTATAGTGAAGAAGACTTCCAGGTTCTGACCTCATTCTGCTGCTTACTAGCTGAGGGACTGCGTAAGTCACTTCCCCGTCTGTGCCTCAGTTTCCTCACCATTTGTAAAGTGAGGAAGATGTATTAAATAATGATAATTATCTAAGTTATTACCTACCTGTCATTTAAGGAAGACTTAGAATGTGCCAAGCTCTATACATTATCTCATATTATCTTCATAAGACTTTATGAGGTAGGTGTAAATATTCCCTTTTAAAGATAAGGTAACTGAGGCTTAGGGAGACAGCTTGCCATAGACTACACAATTAGTAGAGCTAGGATTCAGACCAGGTTGTCTCATTCTAAAATCCTCACTTTGATCTGCTCTGTTAAACTAACTAGATTGTAATGGCCTTTCTAGCTCTTAAAGACTGCGGCTCGATCGCCTAGGACTCCTCTGGGCTTTGGCCTTGGCCTTACATCCTTTTTAAAAGTGGAATGATGTCCCCTTATAGGGTACTTCTAGGAAATAATAAAAGCAATAGAAAATTCACAGATTAAGTCATAACATCTTGGAGCTAGAAGGCACCTAGGATATTATCTAGGCAAAATAAAATTAATATCATCAAAGCACTTGGCAAAGTAAAAGTGCAAAACTGCAAGCCAATTTTAACTTTTTTTATTGTTTGGATTAATCTGGTTTTATTTTTAAACACATTGTAGCATGAGATTTTATTAGTCAAGTTTATTATAATAGTCTTGCCCCAGGGTGGAAACAGCTCTGATATTTGACAGATATAAGAAATATGGTTTCCCAAACTGGTGCCAATATGGGATGAATCTTGAGTAAAACTGGCTGCCTGGCCTCTGATAATGAAATACTGATATACTATATCTGTGGTTTCTATATTTTATTATCTAGTTTCTTTATTCATAAAGCATTAATGAGCCTCTGCTGTGTGCCAAGTTTGTACGATGCTGAGGAGCACCTTAGGGATACAAAGACAGCAAGTCACCATCCCTGCCCTTAAAGGACTCACAGCGTTTGGGCAAGACAAATATGCAAAGAGGTGAATAACAATGTAATAGGGTAGGTATGATTACAGCAATATTACAGTATGCATTGGGAGCCCTGAAGAAGGTAACAAAAAGGGAGTGGTAGTTGATGAGTAGAAGTTTCCCAGGCTGAGAAGGGGATAGTGGAGAAGCATTTCAGGCAGATAAAGACACAGAAGTGTGAAGATCATGTAATGTTCAAAGAAAAACGAAAAGTGCAAGATGGCAAAATGTATACATAGCAGAAGAAGAGAGATACAGCTAGACATCCCATGGGGACTAGATTGAGGATGCCCTTGAATGCTAATTTAGATTTTATCTCTGAGCCAGTGGGGAGCCGTAGGACGTTTATAAGCAGGGTAGTTGGTTGATCAGATTAATTTTTTTAGAAAGATAGATGTCGACAGGGTGGAATCTGAGTAGAAATGAAGAGAGGAAGACCAGTTAAAAAACCTAGCAATACCCAGATGAGAAATATTAAGAATCTGTTCTAAGGTGATGGCAGTAGATGTGCAGATGAGCGCAGATGTGAGAGAGATTTTTGCAGCATTTTTTTTTGACCACTTGGGAATGGGTGGTGAAATAAAAGTATGAGTTAAGGATGACGTTGATATTTCTACCTTGTGAGGCAGGTCAGTAGGTGGTGATGCCAGTCACTGTGTTCAATGATGAATAAGTAGGTACTGAATAAATATTTGATCAGTGAAATTATTAATATTTTAGTGTGAAAAGCATTTCCAGGGGCCGGCCCCGTGGCTTAGCAGTTAAGTGCGTGCGCTCCGCTGCTGGCGGCCCGGGTTCGGATCCCAGGCGCGCACCGATGCACTGCTTCTCTGGCCGTGCTGAGGCCGCATCCCGCATGCAGCAACTGGAAGGATGTGCAGCTGTGACATACAACTATCTACTGGGACTGTGGGGGAAAAATAAATAAATAAGTAAAATTAAAAAAAAAAAAAAGAAAAGCATTTCCAGAAGGAGTAAAAATGTCCAGAATTCTAGTTCTAGCTCTGTCATTAACTTGCTAGATAATCTTAGGCAAGTAACTTAACCTCTCTGAGCCTCAATTCCTTCATCTTTAATAGAAGTTCTCAAAGTGAGGTCCAGGGATCCCTACGGGTCCCTGATACTCTTCAGGGATCCACAAGGTCAAAAGTATTTTTATAGTGATAATAATAAGACTTTATTTGCCTTTTTCGTTCTCATTCTCATGAGTGTACTGTGTTTTCCAGAGGCTACATGACATGTGATATTGCAACAGATTGAATGTAGAGGCAAATATGAGAATCCTTTTGTCTCTTAAGTCCAACATTAAAGTGATTGGGAAAAATATAAAACAATGCCTCTCTTCTTGCTAAATTTTGTTGTTGTTTTGGAAAATATAGTTATTTTTCATTAAAATACTTATATTAACATGTAATGGGTTTGTTATTTTTTAATAAATACCTGTTCTTAAATTTTTTCAGTTTTAATTTATAATACCTTAAATATTGATAGCTGTAATTCATATAAATAAAAGCTTTTTTCCTCAATAATTTTAAAAATACAAAGGGGCTCTAAGACCAAAAAGTATGAAAACCGCTGATCAATAAAGTGGGAATAATATCTACCCTTTGTATTTAGCTGGGTTGTTATAGAGTCAGATAAGACTGTACAATCACTTTAAAAGGCATGAGATGCTATACAAATATAAGACTGACCGTTATTACTGTGATTAATTGTGGTGACCTTTTTTTAAAGATGGAACAGATTAAGCGTGCAAACCGCCTTTATACCAATGACTCCATCTTCCTGAAGAAAACCCTCTACATCCCCATCCTGACAGAGCCCAGAGACCTGTTCAATGGTTTGGATTCTGAGGAAGAGAAAGATAGAGAGGAAGAAGTACAGCCAAATAAGCATGGAGTTTGGCCACACTCCACTGAGAGGAAGAAACAGGAGATGGGTTCAGGACGTGCCACTGGTGAAGTCCTTCCCACACCTGGCCAGGAACGCCCCACTCCCATCCATGACCTCTCTGCCTCTGATTTCCTTAAGAAGCTTGATTCACAGATCAGCCTGTCAAAGAAGGCTGCTGCCCAGAAGCTGAAAAAAGGGGAAAGTGGGTGAGTCTTGAATGGTTCCTTTTAAGCCCTTCCATAGACTTCTCCATTCTTCCAGTCTTACCTGACCAGACACACAAGTAAGTAAGCACAGTGTCAGCAGAAGCAAGGTGAAGCTTTTTCCCCAGGTGGCCCCAAGACAATGAGCAAAGCCAGTGCCTGCTGGATGAGCAGAGGAACTGGAAACAGTTCTGTGTTCTCATTGGAGTAGCATAGTTGACTGTTCTTACTGCTCTGCTGATCCATAAAGGAGCATTCATCCAGAGGGTATCGAGACTCCATCTTAGAGCGGCCAGCTCATGTATATTAGGAGGGGAGGACAGCTTCCCCTGGACCTCTTCACTTGGCCCAGTCTTGGATTCTTCCCTTGATCTCTCACTCTTTCCCCCCTTTCCTCACCTACAGGGTACCTGGGGAGGATTCAGGTCATCACCTGAGCTCCCCTCGGATGCAGCAACGAGCAGTCCTAGGTCCTGTGCCGCTGACCCAGACCTCTCGGACCCGGACACTTCGGGACCAGGAGGATGAAATCTTCAAACTCTGATGTCCCCAGAACTAATTGAGAGAAGCGAGATGTTGAAGGAGCAACTTGACAGGGAGAGGAGCCTGAGGTGAGGCTCAAGGACATGGCTTTCCAGCCCACCTCCCTCCCTCCTGCCATCCTCCCAGCCTCCTTGTCCATCAGGAGTTCCTTGGCCTGGGGCAGTTTTATTGGCAAGAGTAGGGGTTGGGGACTAGACCCCTTCTCAGTTCTTGGGCTGAATCTAGAGTTGTCCTTTAGATTCAAAAGGCTCTTTTTACATCCCTGCTGCCTTTCCCATCCCTTTCACCATTCCTTGGCCTTAGATCAGGGAGGCAGGGACTCCTCCAGCCCCCAACTTCCTCCCCATGTTTAACTATGTTACCTAATTTATTTGGTGCTATATTGAAATAATATTTATTTGCTCTATCTTATTCTTTCCCACTCTTAGCTGAAAAATGGTACTTCTATACCCCTGGGGTGAGGGGAACCCGGGAACAGTGAGCCAGTGACTGCTGGCTCCCACCTTCCCCACCTTCTTAGCCAAGCATGTTATTGAGGACAGGGCAGTCAGTGATCTAGCCTTGCTGCAGAGAATGGTGTACTGGGCCAGGCCTTTTCCCTAATCTCAAAGTAAAGAATTTGGGCTCATTCTGGACTAACCAGTTCACTATAACTTTTTCATAACTCTTGCTCTGAGAAAATACAGCGATGTAAGGACCAGAACTCTCCATGCCACCAGTTCACCCTCTAACCTGCTCCTCTGTTCAGCCTATGGTGAGGCTAAGGGGTGAAAGAAGAATTGCCTTGGAGTTTGAAGAGGAGGACAGTTGTGGGAGTCTTTTTGTTGTGGGAATCTCTTTGTTATACTCTCTCCCCATCAGAGCCTGTCAATCTATGCCTTGCTCCTCACTGCATATTTATTTGCAATTTGTAGCACTGATCTGCGGTACAGTTTTTCTGAGTTTCTTAAATAGAAGAAGTAGGCAAGGGACCCCCAATAATACTAAAAATATGCCTCAGTCTCCTGTATGGAAATGGTGAGAGGTGAGATAAGTGGTGTTTATATACCTCTTTCCTCTGTGATGATCATAAGATGTAAGAAGCTGGAGAGATTAAACACTGAGCCCTGTGCATGTTTCAGTAGTTTTATTTCTCCTGTGAGACTCTCCCATGCTGTTGCCCCTTCTTCCTACACTCTGGAACAGAGCCTCTGATATCTACCCAGGCTCTGCCTAGAGCTGGAGGTCTAGGATATCTCTAAGGGTCCCCTTCCCCCTCTGTCTTTAGTGTCCCCAGAGGGATTAGGAGGCTCTGTCCTCTTTCCCTGGTTCATAGGGGAAGGGGCTTCCCTGTTTCAAACGTCCCTTATAGGGGAAATAGAGATCCAAGTTTCACTTCATCTTTTTCAGGCAGCTTTGTTTCCTGTCCTAGGGCTGGAGTGGGAGAGAGGCCTCAATCCTCAGCATTGCTTCTCCACCAGTAGTTTGGGGGTGGGGTGGTCTCAGAGTCAAAAGCACTCTTGGGAAAGACTGAAGCCTGAGGATTGAAAAGCGTTAGTGCAGATGAGCAGGGTTAGAAAGCCCGTTATCTGTCATTTTCTCAGTCAGCCATTTTACCGAGGTGGGATGTGCCGGGCTCAGGGCTCTCAGAGCTTCCCCTCATCTAGCAGCTTCCTGAGACCATCACAGATCTTGCCAAGGTGCTGAGTGAAGTCAGGCCCATAGAGGGCTGTGAGCAGGCCCGGATCAGAGAAGTGATCGAACACGTGGCGGATGCGGCCGTGTGACTTGGGGGTGAGGTGGTGCTCCACCAGCTCCAGCAGCATATCCCGGCACTCAGTCAGCAGGCCGGCCAGCACGGCAGCCTCGAAGGTGAAGTCCACCTCACCAAAGCTGAGCGCTGTCATGGCACCTTGCCGCAGCTTTTGGCGAAAACGGTCAGCCAGAGCCAGCTCACTGGGGCCAAAGCAGCCACTGCGGTGCAGCACAGCCACCTTGACAGCCACCTTGATCAGGTCCTTGATAACCCGCTGGGCCTGGGGCCGACTGCGTGTGTACTCTTTGGACACACGGTAGAGCTCATCTAACACCTCACTGCTTGTATCATCGATGAAGAGATGAACCACAGAGCGACCTGCCATCTTACTCAGTAGCTTTTTCTCCGCTTGCAGTGCGAGACTCTTTGAGCTGAAGGACTCCATGGTTCCTGGGGGGGTAGGGTATATGGTCAGTCACTAGAAGAAAGACCACAGGCTTCCTTAGAAAGAAAGAAATGGCTTTTCCCCTTTCTGTCTCTTTTTTGGTTTCTATCGCATCATTATCTTTATCATTTTTTTCCCCCTGCCCCCTTCAGTCCTCTATGCCTTGTTCCCATTTTTTTCCTTTAGTACTGTAGGAAATCTTGATTTCCAAAATAGCCCAGAGGAGCAGTAATAACTTTGGCTGGAGGAATGAGGGCACACAGGAGGCTAGCCCACCACAGGTTAAGTCTTAAGAGGAAGTAGGCTGTTGCTGCTACAATGGAGAAGATGAGGCTTACTTGGCAGATAATTCTTACAGCTACCATTTTTGGACGCTGACTGTACCATACATCTATGATACACGTATTATAGGTATACTATAGGTATTACTATCCTTGTTTTACAGCTGAGCAAACTGAGGCTTACGTTAAATAATTTACTCAAGGTCAAATACAACTGTTTTTCTCACTCCAAAGGCCCGTGTCAGCTAGTATGCTGTACTGCCTTTAAAGAAGTGAGAAATAGGGCCGGCCCAGTGGCTTAGCGGTTAAGTGCGCGCGCTCCGCTGCTGGTGGCCCGGGTTCAGATCCCGGGCACGCACCGACGCACCGCTTCTCCGGCCATGCTGAGGCCGCGTCTCACATACAGCAACTAGAAGGATGTGCAACTATGACATACAACTATCTACTGGGGCTTTGGGGAAAAAGAAATAAATAAAATTATTAAAAAATAATAACTAATATTTGAGCTAATAATAATAATAATAACTAGTATTGAGAACCTACTACCTGCTGACTGCTTTATGTGAATTATCTCAGTCTTCCCAACCCCTTCTAAGGTAGATATACCCCTTTGGCAATGAGAAAACCGAAGCTAAGAGAAATTAAGCAATTTGGTTGAAGTCACTAGCAAATGATAAAAATGGGCTTCGAATCAAATAATCCAAAGAAACCTCCTTCCCTGGGATGCTCTCAATGAGGTTGAAGCACACTGAGGAAGCATGAGAAACAAGCACCTCAAGAGGGGCAGGCGGTACAGGAGGTCTCAGTCTTCTTCTAGGGCTGAACTGGACCCTCCTGGTGGCATATCAGCTGCATATATCCAGGGTTCTCTCCCCATGGTCTTCGCCTGTGATTCTTCTGGTTGTTTTGCTTCTTACTTCCCCCTCCCCTGCTCTGCAGGATGTGGCTGTGACCGCAGTGAGGAGCAGCCTCGCCCTCTCCCCCAAACCAAAATGGGAGTCTGAAGAGGCAGGGGAGATGGGTAGCTGGGGGGGTTTCTTCCCCAGCTGAATCAGTCCACTGGGAACCTGGAACCTTGCTTTGCTCCCAGCTTTGCCTGGGGCTTTCTGAAGCATGCGCCACAGCCGGAAGAGGAGATTGCTCCATGTGAGCCTTCCTTCCTCCTTGGCCTTCCTGTTACCCAGCTCTCCATTGCCCCTGTTGCCATCTCACAGTTAGCCCACTGTCCTGTCGCTCTCTCCCTGCTTCAGTCTCCCTTTTACTCGTCTGGTCCTCTGGTCCTGCCTTATGATCCTCTGGCCTTGCTCTCCCTTTGGCCCTTACGTCTACCTCCATGTCTCCTAAGATTTCCCTGCATCTCTCAGTACTCTGTCACATACCCATATCCACCCCCATGCCTCCGCCCTGCCTCCAGCCATCTCAGACGGTCTTTCTTTCTGAGGCTGCCTTGCCTCAGGGAAAACTGAGCTGGACCTCTCCACTGGGGACCCAAGAATTCTATCAAGTGAGAGTTTCACAATATGGAAAGTTCAGGCTGACAGAGCTGGGACTCTTCTGGCCCTATCACCCCTAAAGCCGCCCCTTGTGTCATTGCTGGTCCCTCACCTGCTGCGCTGGATGCCAGTCTTGCCTTGGATGTTCCGGGAGAGCTGACAGAATGGAGAAGCTCCTAAGTGAGAGGCCCTTTGGCCTGGCCCCACCCCTCAAGCCCCGCCTACCTACTCTCTGCTCAACCTCCGGTTCATCACACTGTCACTGAGAAGGTCTATGGCTCAAGAGCCTCCTAAAAATAAGACAAAGGTCAAAAAGAAGAGAATTTTGTAGGCAATAGTCTTGATTCTTTGAGATGAGGAGGAGGGATTGTTCATCCTCTCAAATTGTTTGTCTGCCTCTGTCTTTCCTTGCTGACCACTTCCTTGAGATCTTGTTCTCCTTATATTCCTGTGGTACTGGGGAGGGTGTAAAGTGCAAATGGCTGGGGTGAGGGTCAAGGGAAAGTTCTGAAGATTAAGCTGGAGACCCCAGAGGCAAGCCAGAGACCAGCAGATCCGAGTGTGTTCCTAGAGTCTCCAGGGAAGGGTGGTGGTGCTGTGGGGCAACGTTACCATAAACATAAAATTCCAATGCCTGGCTGGGTAAGGGTGGCACAGAGAGTCCCCACCCTTAATACTGGAGAGAGGAAGATGCTGGGGCCAGGGCTGCCAAACCAGATATGACCAGCAGGTGTCAGCACAGCATTGAACCACTAGAGGAAACAAGCCCACTTACTGTGCTTCCTAGCTGCTAAAGGGACACAAAAATGAAGGTAAGTCACAGTTCCTGAATGAGGCAAAAATATTTACCCTCAGGAATCTTACAGCCTAGTCAGGGAGATAAACTTAGGCATACATAACTGTAATACAAGAGAAATGATGTCATTAGCTTTAATAGAAGTTTAAAGAATTATGAGAGTACAGAGAAGTTTAGATTATTTCTGATAGAGGGGCTGAAGAGGTAGACTTAGAAAGATGGATTCAACTACCATCTGGTCTGCAACTTATGATGGTTCAACTTACGATTTTTCGACTTTAACATGGTGTGAAAGCGATACGCATTCTGTAGAAACCATACTTCTAGTTTTGAATTTTGATCTTTTCCTGGGCTAGCCATACGCAGTACTCTCTCTTGTGATGCTGGGCAGTGGCAGCTCCCGTCAGCCCCGTGATCACGAGAGTAAATAGGGATAAACTTATACAACCATTCTGTACCCATACACCATTCTGTTTTTCACATTCATTACAGTATTCAATAAATTACATGAAATATTCAATACTTTATTATAAAATAGGCTTTGTGTTACATGATTTTGCCCAATTGTAGGCTAATAATGTAAGTGTTCTGAGCATGTTTAAGGTAGGCTGGGCTAAGCTATGATGTTTGGTAGGTTAGGTGTATTAAATGCATTTCGACTTATGAAGTTTTCAACTTAACAGTGGGTTTATCAGGACGTCACCCCATCAGAAGTCAAGGAAGATCTGTATTTAATAGGCAAAGATGGAGAAGATGGAAATTACAATAAATCTGTAATTTATTGAATACTGTAATGCTTCCTAGATGATAGGGATAAGCATAAGCCATACCATGAATAAAGATAATACAGGGCATACTCTGGACGTGGTGATTTATTCTATATGTCTGGACCATAGGTTCTTTGAGAGATAAGTAAAGAAGGAAAAAGACCAGATCATGGTAGACTTTAAAGGAGTTGCTCAAGAGTTCAGACTTTTCCTGTAGGCAGTGGGGAGACATTAAAGGTTTTTGTTCAGAGGAGTGAAATCATTAGCTTAGTGGGAATGGGTTAGAGGCTCCAATAAATTTTTAGCTGAGGAAGCGGCATGCTTAAAAGGAAGTGATCAGGGGCCGGCCCCGTGGTGTAGCGGTTAAGTGCACGCGCTCCACTGTTGGCGGTCCAGGTTCGGATCCCGGGCGCACACCGATGCACCGCTTGTCAGGCCATGCTGTGGTGGCATCCCATATAAAGTAGAGGAAGATGGGCACAGATGTTAGCTCAGAGCTGGTCTTCCTCAGCAAAAAGAGGAGAATTGGCATGGATGTTAGCTCAGGGCTGATCTTCCTCACACACACACACACACAAAAGGAAGTGATCAATGAT